GCATCCAAACACACCAGATCACCATAACACTCAACATCCACGAGTCCCCCAGATCTACTCCTTTGTCTAAAACACTAGACGCTAAATGCTAGGTTAAATAAATAAGTCTTCAACCTCGACTTAAACACTGAGACCGTGTCTGCTTCACGTATATTAACTGGGAGGCTATTCCATAATTTTGGGGCTTGGTAAGAGAAAGAATGATATGAAGATATGAGGCTGGAGCTGATTTCTATCTGGCCCAGACTGTAGATTCATGCAGCCTATCAGTGACAGTCTTGTCAGGTGGCTACTCAGAGTGAAACACCCTCAGATTTGATTTCCATTTGGGCTGATATTGTTCAACCTGCTTCACTGACACATCAAGTCATCAGCAGTGACTGACATGGCACATGTGAAATACAGTCATGGGTGGAATGATTGCATATGAGCTGGATTATGTGCTCTATGATACATTTTTCCCTAAAATGCCTTTGGAGGAGAAACTAAAAATAGATAAACTAAGCACACATTGTACAGTGAAAGTACTAATTCCACTAACCCACTGAGCATGCAATGTACGGAGGGCGTCCTATTTGTGTCCAAACCAGGTCCATCCATCAATGCTCCCTGTGGGATGTCTGCTGGATGTCCAACTTTGACTGGATTTAGAACAGTATTGTAAAGTCCATCAGAAATTATGTAAAATTCTTATGGTTGATGAATATAAGTATGTGGGTACTAATTATTGTTTTTCATATATGTTACTTATTCTTGCCGACTGATATGAATATAAGCAGGACATACATCAGACATCTAAATTACACCTTACTATGATCAACCACCTAAATGCACTATTTTTTTAAAAACTATTTACACAACCGACAAAATAATAATCTCTGCTTATTGGGGAAACATATCTTTATACAGTGTTCTGTATTTTGACTAGTTTTATAAAGTAGCCTATGCTGATTAAATTAATTAGTTTTTTTACTCAAGCCTTGGCTTCAAACACTGGTCAATTTTTTATTGGTTAATCTGAGGCGCCATGCATTGAGCGTACATGTTTTATCCAATCACATTTTCAGGCTTTCAAACACCTGGTATTCAGGTGCCAAAAGTGGAGTCTTTCAAGAACATCCTTCAGTTGCTTCAGCTGTGTATGAGAGACAGCAGGCAAGGTATTAAGGTATTTTTTTAAACAAAATAATCTCAACTTCTGTTTACATGTTTGGTATTTGGAGGAAACATGGACTAACAGAGAATTATGGACTATTAAAACCACAAATAAAATGAAATCACAAATAAAACTGCCTGTAAGTATGTGATAGTTTGCCCCATGTCATTCTTATTAAGCCGTTGATGAAACCTTGTGACATATTGCATTCCTCAGCCCATAGTTTTGTTGTCAAGCTATTCATATACATTCGATTTTAGCCCCTTTTATTTAATATCACAATATCACAATCCCACTATCCCATTTTATCAAAAAGAGGATGGGTTCCTTTTGAGTTTTTTCAAGGTTTTTTCAAGGTTTTTTCCCCCATGTCATCTCATCACCACTGTTCCTCTGGCTTGCTCATTAGGGATGTAAAGCTGCATCTGAATTTTTGTAACGCTGCTTTGTGACTGTTAAAAGCTGTTAAAAACACTATACAAATAAAATTTAATTGAATTGATAAGAGAGCAGAGAGCCTATTGTTTGAGCACCCAGTAATTAATTTATTAGCGCTACCATGTGAGAAAAATACAGTCCTTGTTGTGAAGTGCCTGGCACTTCAGCTTAAGCATGTTGCTTTTTATGGGAATTGCCATCAAGGTGATCTCTAATTTGGTGACCTCCCTAGGAGGATGACTCAGGCTTTTTTCTGTTTAGTGGTGGTATTCATTTGTTTCAGTTAAATACAGCCATAAAGGATACAAGTAGTAGAATTACAGATAAGCATATGTGTAGACATCTTAACTAATG